GGCTGGGGTGGACCCTGGCGAATTTATCGGCCGTTGCGTTGGGCCAGAGGAGTTGGTCGCCGAGGGAGGGCGAATTCCCGGCGGACTTCGGGGGAAACGCGAAGATTGCGAAGACACCGCCGCCGTTGCCACGTACGGCTCCGGTCCGCCTCCAGAGGAATGCAGGTGGTTTTTAAAAACATCAAGGTAGCCGTTGACCGTGCACCGTTTGTTCCAAGGCCCTGCGCATTGGCGATTTGTTAAACTACTATTAGTAAAGTGTGTTCTCCCTGATGCATTAAAATATTTTAAATGTACAAAAGAATTTATAACGATCATCTTTCTGCTGGCGCCAAATTCTTGGAGAACCCAATCACGAAAATGGTACCTGTCCCTTGGCATAATTTATTTGGTCGGGGGGTGAAAGTAATTGCTTTTCCAGGTAACGTCAACAATATATATATATATATATATATATATATCTATATATATTGTTAACTTTAATGTAAAAGTAAATGTTCGAAAGCAATATTTCAAAAGTCAAAATGAAACAAAAAATACGAAAATTCAAATTGAGGATCAAAATCATCACGTCATGACATAATATGTACCGAACTGTAGTAATACTAATGCGTAATCTGCATATGAATATTTTATTTAATTACTAAATATAAAATATGATGTCCAGATTAGTTTATGGAAAATTTCAGCAGTCTGATGTGTTACAGCTGAGGCGTTTCGGTAATTTGGTGGACGAAATATTGAGTGAAATTTAAAGTATGAAGCTAAAATAATCAAAATAATAGAATATCCCACCTATTAGAGTAGTAACATTTTAAGAGGGGAGGACAAGCTGTACATTTACGCTGGGAGGGGCATTTACGAGCTTAAGGGGAGAAAGACACGAGTAAGATGTATATTCGAACATAAGATTGGGTGAAAAAGACCCCAATTAGTTGACAAATGACCCCAATGACAAATTCTTTGGGAAATTTATCAATTAGACCCCAATGACAAATTCTTTGGGATAATTATCTTTGTTCTAATAAAAGGTATAATGCTATTACAATTATCTAAAAGTTGTTTTCCTGGCGGAGGGCGCGT